ACAAGATAGATAGCGAAACACTGAGACAGGTTTGCATGTCCTAAATGGGACAGAGGTAAAATAGTGATACATGCTTAACCTTGGAACAACAGGGCTCTGGGATACAGGGATCAAGACATAGTTTGAAGAGGGGAAATAATACTAAAATGCTTGACTGTCATATGAATATTGGTTTCCCTTGCCTACTATTGTAAAATAGACACTTGAATGGGATAGAAAGGAATGTTGGAAAACATGATTGGAGAAAATTTGTAAGCCCGTCTAAAGCCTATAACTGATTGGAATACCTAAAAGGGGTTCTAGAACTTGCCCAGTGAAATAGCCCTGTTGCAAAGCCTTTGCAGAGTATAGGAGGACCTTAGTTGTAATCCTGTGTCACATCCAGAACCTTATGAGGTGGGACATTCCCACTTGCAAGGACAAGTAGACCAGCCTGGAATAGCTAGAGCAACAGAAGATACATCTTCAAAGAAAGATCATCAAGAAAAACCCAAAACAAAATTGTCAGCATGACTGGCTACTACAAGAATAAGCAAGCTGGTCGCTGGGAAGCCATCAAGGCAAGCAATGAAGTTCCTTCAGGACAAACTTCCCTCTAAGACTGAAACTCAAAGGGAACACATGAGCAGGCATGTAAGCTTGTTGGCGACCACATTGGTCTACTGATGAGTGGAAGAGGAGGTGGAAAGGCAGCAATGAAGAAATGGGCTGGGTTCAACCATGATCCGTTGACTCAGGTTTACCTGGAGATGAGAGAGAGAAGAGGAAGGGCTGGTTGGTTCAAAGTGTGGTGAGACCTGAGGACACTTGAGCCCATGGACAAGGACATAGCCATAGAGGGTTAGAGCTAAGAGTAAAGCATCCAACTGATACAAAGTGAGGGGAGGTGCACAAGAACACCCAAACTTGCAGACAGAACCATTTGACCTAGCCTCGATGGCTTGATAATGTGTACTCGACTAGAGGAAGATTAAAAAAATAATAATAAATTTTTTTTGATAAAGGAAGCAGGTAAATAGCTACAATTTGATGAACCTGACCTATACTCATGGAGGTAGTAATTCTAAATACCAACAGAGAGGGAAGGAGTCTTCACATCAAGTATCAATGCTATATCCCCTCTGTACACGGGGTAGATAGGGATGGGCAACTTAGATATTGGTTGCCTAAAATAAGGGGGCGATGAAGGCACGAAGTGGCTGGCTTACAAGGTCTCAAGAGGGAGTGTGGGAGGGGAGAAAGTCCGCACTGAATAGTTTTCATCTTGTCTTGATGGGTCTGGTAAAAAGAGATGGGGATAAGATTCATATGATTCAATAGTGAATAATTGTTGTCATGGCTAATTGCGACTGTCACAATTGTAAAGGTAGAAGTTTGGTAACAAAAACAGAGGAATGGTTAATCTTACAGTCCAGAAACAGATTACCCTAGGACCATCAAGGGAGAAGAGTACAATTGGAATGCAGGACCTTATCCAGAGAACCAGCGATGCCAGAGATGGAGGCAGAGATGGGGTCATGGAGAGAGGGAGCAGCTGAGGACTCTAGATTCATGGGAACAGAGGGACTAAGAGCTGGTGGCCAGGAGGCAGACTTGCAGAATGTGCACTTTGGAGGTGTAAATTATTATATATGCCTGAGTGTTTTTTTCTTTTCTGTTTTTTTTTTTTTAAACTAAAGTGAATAGAGATAAGTGCTGCTAAGTGATGGTACATGGAGGGGATTATAAACATTGTAATGAAACAAGGTGTAAGATTTGTTGAATGTAAGACTGATGATCTGCCCTGTAAACTTTCACTCAATCCACAATAAAAACCTTAATAATAATAATGAGTTTTTCTATGAACTTTTTGAGGAGCCCTTATATATGTTAGGAATGTCAGCCAAAAAATATGGGTAATGGTACAGGCTGTGTTTATCAGGAATGCCTGCTTACCTGAAATTGCTCTGTATATGCTGTTGTAGCCTTTCATAGCCTGCCTTCAGTGATGTGTTACAATCTTGTTTCTCCTGCACATCTGTAACTTTTGTATGTTCTGCTTCATCTGTTTTCGTGTCTTCCTCTAGGGCAGAATGAACCTTCCCTTTTTTTCCCTCTGTATTTTTACTCCAGCTAATCCAGTCCCAATCCCATCTGTTCTGTCACATTCCTAACTCTTCCCTGAACCCTTTGTCCTAGCCACATCACCAACATCGGTGACATTACCTCTCTAGTGATCGAAGTAGAGCTTCTTCCTATATCCTGGGCAACAAGCTTTCCTTCTGAAGCTTGCACTTGAATACGTTGCTTCTTTTCATTGTGTAAAAAGATGTACTTCCTAAATTAATACTTCTACTAAAAGAAGTTTCAAATTAGTAGTTGGGGGAACTTGTACATCGGTTTACCTCATAAATAAGCTGCTTATTTTACCTAGTTCAGTTCAGTGTAATGGTACATAAGTCACGAGTGTATAATTTACCACTGTGGTGCCATAGGATCAGCACTGGACTGTGAACCACAGGGTCAGCAGTTCAAGCCCACCAGTCGCTCCTTAGAAACCCTATACAGGGTTGCTATGAGTGGGAACCGACTTGGTGGCACTAAACAACAACAGTCTAGTTGTGATAAATTGTGAAAGATTTTGGTTATCTTCATAGTTCAGCATAATATAATGGGCAGTTTGTACTGACCATTGTGTGATATTAAAGGGTCAGCACTTTCCCAGTTTGATAGAAATTGTTGTCTGTTTTGGTATATTACTTTTGAGTATTTCTTTTCCCGATGAGAAAAAAAAAGAGAGATTTTCTCTTTATAACACCTATTTTGTACAGATAACTGAAAAATCCATGTTTAGGTAATCCTAAAATGCTGTACTTTTGATAATCTAAATAATACTGTTTTGAAGATTATCATCTAGAAAAATAAACTCAGTGCAGGTATCTCTTAATGTGCACAGGGGCGTTAAAAAGTTCATGGGAAATACGGGATGTAAAAGATAATGGAGCTTTTCACCAAACTTTTTGAAGCCCGCACTTAAATATCTTTTTTTTGTCTCTGGAGTGTAGCAGAGCACTTGAAGCTCCTTCAGCCCTCAGCATGAGGAACAGGCGTAGAAAGAGCACTTCATGGCTGGATAGTGTGTAGCTACTCTGTTTTTATTGCGTGTTTCGGGGCCAGTAGTAAAGAGGAAGTGAAGAGCTTACTTGTAAAGCATTATTTGGTCAAAGCACAGGATTGCTTTTGGTCATAGGACATAGAACAAGTTATTTATGCTTCTCTTTCATTTCAGCTGTACACATTGAGAAGATAATGCTGAAAGGAGTCCAGAGGAAAAGGGCTGACAAGTATTGGGAATATACCTTCAAAGTAAGCCGCTATCTCCTAAAAAAGATGTTTCTTCTCCTGTGTTAAACAATTGTTTTTATAAATGTGCTTTTATGACTTTATCCAGCACAAATAAAACGTGCAAATGGCTGTCTGTTAATTGTCGTGGCTGCACAGCCTGGCGTGGGGATGGGTGACTCTGATGGCCAGCTGGGCTGCTCTTTCCACAGTGGCTTTGCGGTTCCTGGAGGAAATGTTGTGCGCGATTCTGCGCAGTCAGGTTTGTTTCGCGGCACAGCACTTGCTGCTTGTGGACATTGTGAACCAGGAATTTGCCGATGCCACTGTGTTTTGTTTCCTTGCTGCTCCCATAACTAATGTTGGGCAGTTAGATCTGGCCCTTAAATCTTCTCCTCACCTTGTTGTCAGTGCCTCTGGACTTGCACCAGTTACATTTAATTTTGACATAACAGTCTGGTTGGTTCCAGATGAACTTCTTAGTCCTTGTTTTGATGATCTTGGCCTTCAGCAAGGGTCTAAGGGTGTCGCGATGGCTGCCTCTGTAGGTAGCGTGTTAAGTGATCTTTTGAAAGAATGGAAACTGAATTTTGGGAAAACGTTTGGTAAGCTTGCTAATTCAAGACAAGAGGTACAACATAAAGATGTAGACTGTTATGAGCCCAATCTTCCTGTGCTCATCTATATATGCACATATATCTCTCCCTCATGAAAAGATGGACTGTTTTCAGTATTTGCTGTGTGGCTTGCCAACTAACAAATGTATTGTGTAACATTAAAATGCCTCCAAACAATGTTACTAAAAACCAGAGCCTTAGACTTAGGGAGAAGTTAGAATGGCCCCAACGTTGTCCAGTGACGATTGCGGTCCTGTCTTTCCTGCATGGTTTTCTGCCCTCTCCTTTCTCTCTGGTGTGTCTATTCCATGGTCCTTGTTGCCTGCCTTCCTCCCTGTAACTGCTCTGCTGACATTGCCGGCTGGAGTGTAGAGCCCCGCTCCCATCACATGATTCCCAGGACCCACCTTGCGATGTCTCCTCCCTGCCTGTTGACTGCTGGGCGGATTCCTCACCACATCTTCATCTCACCTTCACAGCCCTCGCCCTCAACGGTGGGACCAGCCCCTCTCTGGAGCTCTGGAGTGACGTCCAGTTCTGTGCTTCCTGAAACTTTACTTGTTTACCCAGAGGCGTTGCTAGTCCAGCTTCAGCCTGTCCCGGCATGGAGCCATTCCTGACCCTTTAGCAGAACGTTTCTCGCTCATCCAAATCCTTACTGCCACTGTACCTTTCAGATGCTCCCTGAATTGGGTTTCCTGTGTCTCCTTTCCAGTCAGCTCTCGTCTTGTGTGGCATGAGAACCCCCGTCTTTGTGTTATCCCGCCATATCTGACCTGCTTAGGGCCTTTGTTGGATGGATTTCAGAGTGCTGGCTTCTGCTTCGTCTTGCAGGTGTCTGGTCCTCTCCACATGTTTGACCTGAGTTTTGTGACATGTGACCCAGCCCCTCTTTGCTCTCAATGCTTAGTCACATGGCCACTCCTCCTAGCCCCTTCCCCACTAGGACTTTGGTTCTTTATCCCTGGGCTGGTGAGGCTCCCTCTCCTCTTGCCTTACACCCTTCTTCTCTTCTGGGAAGCACTGATGACTGGTTGAAGAGTTTCGTTTCTTCTGCCACCTGACTCTGACCAGTAGAGACGTCCACAGTTCCCTGAGCTCAAGTCACGGATCAGTCCACATTGGAAGAGTAACTTCAAATCCCTTCAGATAGCTGCCAATTCATGCCAGGTTTTGATTTGAGGCTTGCTAGATAAAATTTCCTCTATGTTTTTAAATAACTTACTATAACACGATTACTTGGTAAGGTTTAGCTGCTAGCATATTTCAGATGATTGGTGGGCCACACTCCAGTCCACTGAATGGAAAAGGTCCTCAGGAAGTCTGGAAACATGATAGGTTTCAATACTGTCTCTTAGGCTTACTTCACCTTGCTTCTGGGTGACTTATTTTTTTAATCTTTTCTAGCTTTCAGAAGAATAGCCTTTAGACTTTTGACAAGACCATCCCAAGAGCCCTTCTTTGGAGCTTTGCATTCTCCATCTGAAAATGGAAATGATTAATCATACATGTCCCACCTTCTTCTTCTTGCTGTGAAGTTCTGTTGAATCGGTCCCGACACACAGCGACCCAGTATAGGGTTTCCAAAGAGCGGCAGATGAGTTTGAACTGACCTTGTGCTGCAAACCTACCTTGTGGTCCTGCACCTAACCCTGCCGCGCCACACCTCTTTGTAAACCATGAATCTCCTTAGAGAGAAAACATGGTGCTGCCACCCCACCAGCCAGACCCACTGTGATTGAGACGATGCTGACTCATAGGGACCGTGCATTGGGTTTGTTGTTGTTAAGTCAAGTCGGTTCCGACTCATAGTGACCCTGCATTTTGAAATCCATCCAATAGATGTCCAATAGGAGCAGCAGCTGCTTACAAGACTGTAAGTCTTTATGGGAGCAGAAAGTCTCATCTTTCTCCTGTGGAGTGGCTGGTGGGTTTGGACTGCCGACTTTGCAGTTAGCAATCCAGTGCTTATCCTGTAACACCACCAGGGCTCCTTTAGGTGCTATCAAAGGAGGCAGTAAATTCTAGTTGTGTCTTTCATGAATATAATCTTTTCTTGGACGTAGGTCCACAATGGCAGTAGTGCCATTTTGGTATTCTGCAAGTCACATAAGGACCTTGACATTCCCGCTTCTCAGATACCCCTAAAACACCAGTCACATTGCTTTTAAGACTGCTTTAAAACAAAACAAAACAAAAAACCCTTTCTGAAAAGACTTATTAGGAAATGTATCTGAGTAGAGTACAGTAGTGTACATTGAATTTCAACAATTTTGAGGACGCCATGACACTGCCAGATGAAATTGATTCTATTTTTGTAATTGTTGATAAAACTTACAGAAAGGGCCTGTGTTTTATACGGGGTGGCTTTTCCCAGCCAGTTATCGCCTCAGGAATGACCATGTAATTTATGTGTTTTTGTTTTTGTTTTTTAAAATCAGGTGAATTGGTCTGATCTTTCAGTAACAACAGTAACAAAAACCCACCAAGAACTACAAGAATTTCTACTGAAGGTAAAAGTATAGATTTTATTGTTGGAATGGTTTTAACGTAACATGTAGCCTCCCAAAGGCCTCACGCCAAAACAAACCATCAGGAAAAATTAGAGCACCTGCAGTTCCTGGAACCTCCCCCGTAAACAGTTATAGCAAATGTCATATCCTGTCTAAAGCGCATGTGTTATATATGCTACCTTACGTTATCAGTTAAAGGAAGTGGTGGAGCTTTTCCCGTGTTTTAAGCTTGAACCTTTTTCCTAGTTCCATGTTGGCACATATGTGGTTGGGACTGCCTTCCAGAGAACCTTCTTGTGAAAGAATGCATCTTTGACATGAGGTGCAGTCTTGGCTCTCCGACCTCACAGAGGTTGTGTGCCCTTGGAGGGCTTCCCTATTATTATATATACAACTCCATTTCTACCTTGTTGGAGTTACATCCCCCTCCCCTCCCTCAGTTTAAAGTCTCTAGACTGTTAAGCATAAAACATGATAGAGACAACATCTACAGACTTCAGAGGTGCGTGACACCATAGATCATTTTGTGCTTTATATGAAATTTATTGAAAAGCATATGGGCAGAAGTAAATACCATATATTATTCTTCAGTATTCAAGGGTTTTAAAATGTATTGGTTACTAGGGAGACAAAATAGACAGCCCAGAAGTGGGAAACATTCCCAACTCAATTATGAATTTTGAGTCACGAAGTTGCAGACTTCCGGAGGCTCCAGCACCTGAATTTTCAGGACAGTTCTGGTCTTTAAATTGTCTGCTTGCCACCGTCAGCGCATCGTCATTTCAGGTCAGTCATCGGTCTGTATCCGTAAAGCTGGAGGGGACTTTGTCATCATCACCTTGCAGAAGTTTGAGCAGCACATTAGAAGCTAGCTCTCAGAGGACATGCAAGCTGTCTGGAGAGTCCTGGGCACTAGCTCCCCTTTCCTGTGGCTCCTTTTAAACCTGGGAGTGAGAGAACTCCTTCACACACTTGGTGGTTGGCTTAGCTACATGCCAGAGTTGCATGTTCATCAGTTAAAACTATCTTCTTAGTAGCTGCATAGGACTTCGTGTCTATTCTGCTGTGGTCACCAGAATGTAATCTTCTGGAAAGCAGGCATTTTTTGGGGGGGGGGTGGTCTTTTTCTTAACTGCTGAATCTGCAGAACCTAAAACATTGTCTAGGAGTGAGTAGGGGTTTGAACCCTTGTTGGCTGCATACGTGAATGAGGAAGGAAAGATAATGAACGTTTTTAGGTGGTTTTCTATGAGATACTCGGGCTTGTCATTAAAGGCATGCTTGTGCTGGTCAGACGCCAATACCTGTGCTCTGACTGGTGCAGAACGTGAGCCCAGACCCTAGGGGTGGGGGGCCAGCGTTGCCGAAAGTAAGGTTTGAGAGGAGAGGACATTGTAAGCAGGAGAATGGAGTATACACAACACAGTTTAAAGCTGGACTGGACATTGACGATAAAACACACTTGAACACAAATCCATTTGTCAGTGTTTATGACGGATCAGCACTCTGTCCAGTAGTAATGTGACTATCCACACCCACTGGGTATGTGTGACGAAGAAGAGCCATCAGTGTCAGTGGTTCCGTTGGCCTGCTCGCTCCCCAGAGCCTGTTTCACTGGATGTCTCTGCACCCCAGGAGGCCCTAGGGTGACTGGAGACAGACAAACACATTTGCTTTTGATATGGAGGAATCTTATATACTGCTTTAGTATAGGCCCTATGTCATGATGATTTGGACAGGAAACTGCTTCCAGGTGATTATGTAAGCAGGGGGCATTTACCTGCGTCTTATTCAGCCTGTAACACATTTTACCAGTAACTAGGTCACTTAACCTTGGTCATAGTTTTATTTATTTTTTTATGTTTTACTTTTTCTAGCTTCCAAAGGAATTGTCTTCAGAGACTTTTGACAAGACCATCCTAAGAGCCCTGAACCAGGGTTCCCTGAAAAGGGAAGAACGGCGCTATCCTGATCTCGAGCCCATCCTAAGGTAGCAACTGTACGGGATGCCATGCCAGGCGGGGAGTCAGGTAGCAGCCATCCACGCCAGCCCACCGAGATGCCCATCTGGAGTACTTTAGAAACGGGCTTTCTCCCTGCGCTGTCGTGTGCGTGTGGGGCCACAGTGAAAGGCACTGTGCTGGTTTCTAACTGTGCTCTTCACCTCTCTGACTTCAGAGAGCCGCTTCCAAAATGTGCAAATGCTCGACAAGACCATTCATTGTTCCATCAAATACTTATTTATAGAGAGAAGAGGTCCTGGTCTAGGAGATTTTGGGTGTGTTTTGGTTTTCTTTTTAAGTTGTCGCATAAGATGGGGACATGAAGGCAAATGGTTCTTTTTAAGCACCTGCATGTCTGCCGTTTGCCAGGTCTTTGCCCTCATGATGTATAGAGGTTACCGGGAAAGACCAGTGTTGGCGAGGTGTGTATTAAATGTCCTGCCAGGGCTTTCAGCGCACCCTGTGTCCATAGGAAGAGTTGGAGATTGAAGACACAGGCGAGGTGTAAGTGATGGGACTACAGGGTCCCTGAGGAGGCAAGACGATGGGAGATTACAGTTGCTGTTTCCTCATGGGAAGTTAAAGACTTGCTGAATGGGGTAGGTAGAGGCTGGGGATGCCTGAGAGAAGCGAGGCTTGAAAACAGGTGTGTGCAGATTTGAACACCAACCAGATGAGAGAGACCCAGTAAGCTGGACCAGGTTTCCATCACGGAGTGAAACTAGGAAGGTCTGCTGGCTGAGCAAACAGTGGTTGAAGGACAGGTGTCTTGGGAGAGACCAGGTAATCAAGGAGGAAGAACCCAGGTGAAATGAGAGCATGAATTATCTGGATTAGCGATTTTCCAGGTGAAGCAGTCCTTGTGAAGATGGAGGTTCAGAGTGTGGATTCTGGCAGCCATCACTCAAACTCCTGTTGTGTGCCTTCTCCTGTAAGACAGAAAGATATTAAGAAATAATAGCCAGGCTGTCTTTTGAATCTTGGTTTCCCAGGCATACCACTATAAAATAGACACTGGAGGGGGAGAGAAAGGAATAGCCAGAAATATCACCATAGAAAGCTTGTAAGTCCATCTTCTGCCTATAACTGATTGGAATACCTAAAATGGGGCTACAATGTGTCCAGTGAAGGAGGTTTCTTGCAGAGTCTCTGTATTACACAAGACCATAGGTGAATTCCTGAACAGCATCCAGAATCCTCACAGGTGGGAAATTTCCACTTGAATGGATGGACAGACCAGCCTGGAGTGGCTAGAAGAACAGAAGATACTTCTTGAAAGAAACACCAACAGGAAAAATACAAAACAGCATAGGCAGACCGACTGATTACTACAAGAACAAGCAAGTTGCTCGCCTAGGAGGCATCAAGGCAAGTGGTCGTATTCCCTCAGAGCAAACCCCCTTCCAAGACTAAGACTCAATAGGAATACACACTCTGATTGGTGACCATGATTGTCACTGATAAAAGGAAGTGAGGGAAAAACAGCAATGAAGCTGGGAGCTAAGCCCTACAACGTTCAATATACTCCTGCGAACCCGGGTGGAGACCTGGTTGGCCAACATTGTGGCAAGACCTGGGGACTCTTGGGCCCAGAGTCAGCGACATAGCCACAGAGGACTAGAGTGGAGAGTGAAGCTTCCCCTGATATGAAGAGAGGGCATATGCAAGAAAACCCATGCTTGCAGATAATATCCACTTGACCTGGCTTCAATGACTGGATGATCAGAGCTCAACTAGAAGAAGAAAGAAGAGGCAAAAAAAGAGTAATCTGATACAATTTGATGAACTTGACCTACACCTATGGATGCAGTAGCTCAAAAGAGGGAACAGATCTTTATAGCAAGGATCATTCCCACCTCCTCCATATACAGAGTGGACAGGGATGAGCAACTTGGACATTGGCTACCCAGAATGGGGGGGCAGAGTACAGAGGCAAGAAGTGACAGGCTTACAAGCTTTCAAGAGGGAACCTAGATCCAGAGGGCTTGGAGGGAGGTAGAATCTCCACTGAGTAGTATCCAGTCTGTCTAGGTGGGGCCGAGGAAAGAAAATGCGGATAGGTCTCTTATGATACAGTAGTGAATAATTGTTAACAGGACTGATTGTGAGGGTTGGAAATGTAAAGGTAGATGTTTTGTAGCAAGGAGGGGAGTGATTAACTTTGCAGTCTAGGAGCGGAGGTCCCTGGGACCATCAAGTGAGAAGAGCAGAGAGCGGGACCCTACCCAGAGAAGCAGTGACGCCAGAGATGGAGGCAAAGATGATGACGTGGAGAGATGGAGCAGCTGGGGACTTTAGACCCAGAGAGGGAGAGGGGCTGTGTGCTGACGACCGGGGGGGACAGGCTTGCAGAGTATACCCTTTGGTTGGTGAATGATACATGGAGGGACTGTAACCATGGCAATGAAATGATATACGATAGGATGAATGTAAAACTAATATTCTCCCATGTAAACTATCACATAATTCACAATAAAACATTTAAAAAAAAAAAAAAGAAAAGAAATACTAGCCAACGAGGAAGCAAATGTACTTGACTGGAAACTTACAACCATTAATAACATCCATTGCAGAGTTTGTAAAAACAGTATCGGATTGTAAGGCTTAGTGAGAGTCAAGGCTAACTTGAGGGAGACTCCCTGTTCTCTGCCCCCTGAACATCAAATGATTCCCTGGGGAAGCAGACTTACTGAGACAGAGGAAGAAAGAAGGCAGCTAGGTGATCACCTCTTGGAATGCCCCTCACCCATCCTGAGTACTGAGTGGGACCCAGTTGACTCTTCTCAGTGTGGGGTGGGACTGAGTATTGCTTCTCCACAGACAGACAGAAATCTAGGATGGGGAGGATTTTCATGGGTTGACAAGATCCCAGGTGTGACAGGAAATGAATGACTAGAATTAAGTCACCTGCCAAAGACATACAAGCCAAGAGCTCAGAGTCAGGTGGCTCACTGTGTGCATGCTTGATGGTAGCAGTGTGGTGGAAGACAATGGAGAAGTAAGTCAGTAGAGCAGATGGCACAAGTGACTATAATTGTGGCAGAGTGCCCTAAAGCATGGTGCACGACAGAGACTAGGTACAATTGGGGGGTAGAGGAGCCAAAGGCCATCTTCACAGGGCCACATACCCTTGTTGCCACCTGAGTGGGCTACGGGGAAGGCTCAACTCCAGGGGCCAGCCAGACTGTAGTCGGAATAAAGGAGTGCTGGACTCCTTCATTGAGGAGGCTGAGTGTTGGGTAGTCTCTGCGGTGTACAGTAGAAGGTTTGGAGATGAAGGAGTCATGGGAGAGGCTGGGGCAGGCCATTACAGGAGTGAGAGGAGATGAGAGTTTGGGTGAGGGAAAAGTGAGTGGATTCTTGGGTGGCCCCTGGAGATCTTGCTGAACTCACACTCTTAATTCTGTAGTTCTGATACGCTCTATAAGGTAACTGGTGGTCCAGGACATCCTTTGAGTGGCAAGGCCAGATGTGGTGGTGGGCACTCAGGTATATAGCATCTAAAGGTGCCTTAGGAAGAGCTTCTGCAGTTGTCATATGGGAGTGGGCGGTGGACAGGATGAGGGGGTGACCGGTGGTTGACACTGCAGGGAGCAGTAAGGAAGCCAGATGGCAGCCTGGTGTCTGGTGAGTGACAGAACATGAATCTTAGAGGCTGGCTAGGTGGTGCCTGCCGTCGTCCATCCGCATACTGGCTGCAGTATGTGCTCTGACCCCAGCAGGTGATATTTATCACTTAGTCTCAGATGCCAGCCAAGGTCATTCGCTTGTCTGATGTCACATGCGTGCATGTGCATGGCCAGTGGTAGACTCAAAGTTGCACCGTGATGCCCTGTCCAGTTCCCACCTCATTCGGTTGTCTGGCTACAGAGTAAGCAACGGTTTCATTCGGTTGATTTTAGATTGGGGGTGGGGGCTTCACCATAAACCCAAGAAATGCTCCATACGGAACACTCGGGAAATTATAGAAAAGTATGAAACAAAATGAAATCTGAAACAGAACTGAAATTCAAACACTTAAAAAATCAAGTTTCTGTGTGAGATTTAAAAGGAAGTACGTTGTTGGCAAAGTGAAGTTAAAGCTCAAGTTCAGAGCAGTCACCAAGGTAACCATCGGTGACATTTTGATTTCTCCTTAGTGTTCTGTTTTGCCTATGATGTTAGATAGGCAGTTTTATTGCCTATTTGTCCTGTCCAATTTTGAGCATTTGATAGTGAATTCTTCAGAAACATTTTGAATGGCTGCAAAGTGCATCGCATCTGGCTTTGTAATCGCTCAGCTATTCCTTATTGTTGCACATAGTGATAATTTTTTGTTTGTGTCTTTTTCCTAAAAATAAATCTCTGACCATTTTTGTACCTAAAACACCTTCCCAGTTTATGTTTAACCGCTGAGGAGCGATTCTTTGGAATTGATGTACTGATTCAAAGAATACATTTGCCACCCTCACAAAGGATCCCTGCTATACGTTATATTTCTGAGGAAAGGCTGTGTACACTGCAGACCTGGTGTGGTGCTGTAGGGTCAGCACTAGACTGCTAAGTGCAAAGTCAATAGTTCAAACACCCCAGTTGCTCCTCGGAAACCCTATACAGGGTCACTATGGGTCGGAACCAACTCGATGGCACTTAACCACAACAAGTGGCAGATACTACCAGAGTAGACTGACTTCTTAGCGCTTCATGGCTAGCTTTAAGTGTCATTTTGCCCTGAACTGCAGAGTTGGTTTGAACTTCAAGGTCGGCAGTTCAAGCTCACCAGCTGCTTCTCGGAAACCCTACACAGGGTCGCTATGGGTCGGAACTGACTCAACGGCACTTAACAACAGCAGCAATCTGATAGGTGAATTATTAATCTCGTCGTCGTTTTCATTTCCGTTTTAATAGTGATGTGATGTTCAGTACCAGTCTCTGAGTGTAGCCATTTGTGATTTTTGGGAGAGCATCTTTTCCTGACCCGTTGATCCTGTTTTGGATCCAGTGCTTGTTTTTTTTTACCTTTACAATTAAATGTATTGACATTATCAAGTTGTGTTTTGCATGAGACTGCCTTTCAGTTAGTTAAGATTGTTCAAAATGAAGTCTAAGTTAAAATACTATGGTAGGTCTCCCCGTCTTTGTGTCTGTTCTCCCACACCTGGTGTTCAACATGACAGAGTGTGTCGGTGAAATGTTAGGCATGTCCCAGAAGCCATCTGGGATCAACATTAAGTGGTAGCTATGCGTCATCCTTACGTCAAAATAAACTTTAGATGGCGCAAGGATTTAAATGCAAGAAGGAAAACATGACTTTTATAATGTTGAGTATGAAACTCGTTTCTAAATCTTACACAACATCTTCTTGTTAAGTGCCTTTGAGTCGGTTCAGACTCTCAGCGACCCTATATAGCATTTCCGAGGAGCGGGGCTGGTAGGTTTGAACCACTGACCTTTCGGTTAGCTTCCCAGTGCATATCCTACAGCGCCACACCAGGATCCCCTCACACAGTATCTCAGAGCCACTGAAACAGAACTGAAATCTAAACACTTAAAAAATTAAGTTTCTGCGTGAGATTAAAAAGGAAGTACATTATTGGCAAAGTGAAGTCAAAGCTCAAGTTCAGAAAAGATCCTTGCTATTCATTTCTTTCACATCAAGCAAACGCCTAAAAAGGCTAAGAGAATGAAAACTAGTAACCGGCAGTGGGAGCTAGTGTGTGTGTAGTGAGATGGCTCCACCCTTTTCTTGAGCATGTCAGGGCTTTTAAGTCTTAAATTCACTGGTGGTTTGTGTGGTGTAAGGAATATAAGTGTTACTTACATGTTCTCCAAGATGGCTACCTTCACACTACTGTTCATAAGGTGTTAGGATACTTCAGTCTCAGTTTTTGAATGTTAGATTATTAGTGTTATGCATAGAGGAGCCCTGGTAGTACAATGGTTAAGTCCTTGGTGTTAATTGAAGGATTAATGGTTCTAACCCAGTAGCTGCTCCGAGGAAGAGAGACGTGGCAGACAGCATCCATAAAGCGTGTAATCTTGGAAACCCTCTCGGGGGTCAGTTCTTTCTCCTGTAGGCTGCTGTGAATCGGAATCAACTCCGCGCCAGTGGCTTTGGTTTATGTAATTGAATTTCTAAGTGGATTGGTTGGTACAAGACATCCTGCTTTTAGTCCCAGATAGGCTGCAAATGAGAAAAATGAAAATGTGGCCAAATAGTCTGTGGCCATTCTCTTTTGGTGTTGTTGGTGATGTGCTCATAGTGTTTCCAAGGCTGTAAATCTTTATGGGAACAGAAAGCCTCGTCTTTCTCCCGCGGAACAGCTGGTAGTTTCAAACTGCTGACCGTGAGGTTAGCAGCCCGACTCGTAACCACTACGCAGCAGAGCTCCTTCACAGGTTATAATTGCCATCTGGTAACAGCATCACTGTGTAGTGGCTCTGCAGTTGAGATTCAGTCTCGTAGGTGGTGTCTAGACTCCAGCTTTGAACTGAAGTTTTGCTTGTGCTTTTGATCAATACTTGGAGTGGATTCCATGCTTGCCTTTGGGTTTTGAATGCCAGCCTTTGCAAGCATCCCCACTCAAACTTCAGTGTTACCTCTTCCCTCCCTTCCCCCTTTGTTTACCTCTTCAATGTTTACCCCTTGTTTGATACCAGGAAGCCATGTTGCCTAATGCACAAGACAGCTTTGGCCACAAGGCACATCTTTTGGTATATGGTGGGTTTCATGACTTTATAATTAATCTGAATGATAGGTCAGAAACCTTAGGAAGAGATGAAGAAATGTAACATGAACATTTAAGGTGTTATGTTTCCGCAATAATGGAAGAGATTTGTCTGTTGGACACCTAAGTGCTGTATGCAGGGAACCAGCTTATTTTATTTGACACTTAGAAACATGGGGGATTGAGCCTGTCGCCAATAAGGAAATTGAGTTAGAAAGGCTAAATAAATTACTTATTTTGGGTGGGCCAGCTTCTAAGTGGTTGAACTGGTATTCAGACCATGAGTAAACTCTGCATTAGGCAAGTCAGTAACTGCATGCTAGAGATCCCCTTATGCGGGTACCACGGGAGGGGAGACCTCCAGTTGGAATCCTTTCAGCTGCATTCATCACATATGAGAAAAGTTGGTTCTCAAAGGATAGCAGATAACGTAGAATCATGGTGTGACACCACACTGCGTATCAGTCATCATCACTTCATCAAGTTGTGTCTTAGGATGTAGAAATAGTTGTGTAATACACATGAAGTAACTAAGCAGACCCTTAGCTTAGCAGACTTCCCACCCTTGGAGTGCAGAGGCCCTTTATTGGTCCGGCCCCATGAGGAGCAGTACTATCTGTGAAGACAAGAAGGAAAATGCGTTTCTCTTTCTGAGCAGAAAGGATCACTTGGCAGAAAGGCTGAAATCATACATTTATGTAATCTTTTTTTTTTTTTTTTTGACAGAATTGAACTCAACACTAGAGTATCCAAATATTTAGAAATTGCAAATAGATCTGTTTAGTTGTCTCTTGCAAATAAGGTTTAAATTTTGCTCCCTTTCTCATGTATGTGTTAACACCTTAGAAAGTAATGTTCTCTTCTTCAGGGAAAACAAACAAGCAAACAAATATATATGCCTTTTATACCTAAAATAAACGGCTGCTTATGTTTGCTTTATAATCTAAACTGGGCTCTGGTGGATTTATGTTACGTGAAATCCTGAAATTAACAAACCTCTTTTTTGTTTCTCTGCAGGCAACTTTTGTCAACTTCATCACAAGCTTTCCTCCAGAGTCAGAAAGTACACAGCTTTTTTCAGTCCATATCATCCGAGTCTTTGCACAATCTCAGTAAGCATCCTTCTGTTCCTCTACGTGAATCCGTTTCCTTGTTTGGTGTTCTTACTCTACTGCCATCTTGTATGGGGTTGTCCTTGGAGTTAAAGCCAAGGAGCAATCCGCATTGACTCTTGAAATATTTGTTGTTTTTATTGAGTTTTTATAAAATGATGTGTGAACATGAATGTGGAACAACAGACTGAGCCAGAGGCAAGTACCTCAAAACCTTTGGGACATACTTGATCCTTGAGCTTCTTGACAACGCTGGCTGGCAGGCGAGGGTGATATTAAATGTTGATGATGTGATGTATATCCTATACTCTGTTCCCTGTCCCCATGAATGACCTTCCATCCTCCCAACACCCCCAGCTGGAAACATCGGCCTATTCTTGTTCACTTTTCTGCTTCGTGTTTGTTCTGAGATTTTTAAAGGCCAGCCGTGCTGCACAAAGGATATCTTCCCCTCTGTTCCCTGTTATTTCAGATAAGGCTTTGCTTCCACGCATAAGCCATTTATCTACAAAGTCTAGCTCTTCTCTGAGCTTCCAGTTCCACGCTCTGTTTTAACCTGTCCCAGGATCAGCTCAGCGTTAAATTGGAATGCTGATCTGAGACTTTAGCCCTGCTGTTAGCTTACAGAGCCCCCTTTCTGCCCTTCTGTGCTCTAACTCCTTGAAGACTCAGCATTTACTTGGGGCAGCTGCCAGTCTCCATCACTGGGTCTTTGCACATCTGGACCCTCACTTGAGTGTTCTGCTGTAGCATGTGAGAGTCTCCAAGGCCACCCTCAGGTTCAGTAATTCAGTAGAAGGGCTCACAGTGAGAGCCCACTGTTATATTTGCAGCTACAGTTATAATAGCCAAAGGTTACAGATTCAAATCAGCCCAGAGAAACAAGGCATATGAAGCAGAATTCAGCCAAGTCCCTTCCCAGTGGAGTTGTGGACGGCACTAACTCCTCCCAGCCATAGTGTGTGTGTGGCGGTATGCATGTAGTATTGCCAACCAGGGAAGCTCACCTGAGCCTTAGCATCTCGAGTTTTGACTAGGACTCAGTTGTGTGACTTTTATGGTTGTTAGCTGCCTAGCTGAATTTTAGTCTTCACATGCTCTAAAGGTTGAGCTGAAGTTGTCAAGTATCATGGAGTCAGTACCAACTTATGGCAACCTCTGCACAGCACAATGACACACTGCCGGATCCTGTGCCATCTCCACGATTTTTGCTATTTAAACCCATTGTTGTAGCCACTGTGCCAATGCATCTCACTGAAGGGCTTCCTCTTTTTTGCTGACCTTCTACTTAACCACACATGATGTTCTTCTCCAGGGACTGGTCCCTCCCGATAGCATGCCCAGAGTATGTGAGATGAAGTCTCCCCATCCTCCCTTTTAAAGAGCATTCTGTTACATTGTTTCTAAGATAGATTTGTTCGTTCTTCTGGCAGTCCATGGTCTAGTCAATATTCTTTGCCACCATAATTGAAATGCATCAGTTCTTCTTTGGTCTTCCTTATTCATTGTCCAGCTCTTGCCTGCATATGAAGTGATTGAAAATACCTTGGTGTGGGTCGGGTGCATCTTAGTCCTCAAAGTGACATCTTGGCTTTTTAAAGCATTCGAGAGGTCTTTTTGCAGCAGACTTGACCAGTGGCAAAAATCATTTGATTTCTTGACCGCTCCTCCCATGGGTGTTGATTGTGGATCCAACTAAAACACAATCCTTGACAATGCAGTCTCGTCTCCATATAGCACGATACTGCTAGAGGTTGAACTGAAGCTGGCCCCACAAATCACTGTGTTGGACTGTCCGCTGTGGCTGAGACTGACAGGGAGACAAAGATGTTCTTCCCGGCCAGGGTGTTTCAAAGAAGTACAGCCGCCATAGCAAAGAACTTTGTTGTTCTTTCAATCCTTGTCTGCTTTCAACATAGTCTTGTTTTCCTTCACCTACTCCTGGGGTGGCGCTGGAGGATTATCACTGGACTGGGAACCTCAAGGTCCGGCAGTTCAAACCCACCACCCACTCCTTGGAAACTTACAGTGTCAAGATGAGTTGGAACCAACTCAGCAGCCTTCACGTCAACAACAAAAGGGGGTAGAAATGCATCATTTCTCAGTTTGAGGTTGGAGACATACTATAACATATTGGGTTAACATAGATTTTTTTAGTTGTGTATTTTATCGTTAAGTGCCAACGCAAAGTGGTCCCAACTTATCTGGACCCTATGTAGGATTTCCGAAGAGTGCTTGGTGGGTTTGAACCATGGCGTTAGCGGTCCAGCACTTATTCAGCAGCACACCAGGACTCCAGTTGTGTTTGTTAGTGTTAAGTGTCGTCGAGTCAATTCCAACCGATAGTGACCCTGTACAGGGTTTCCAAGGAGCAGCTGGTGAGCTTGAACCATCGACCTTGCAGTTCAGACAACTTTGCAGCCTGACGCATTAGCCCACAGAGCCACGCCAGGACTCCCAGTTGTGTTTATACGCCTTAAATATTTGGAAGAGGCTACTGTCAGTTAAGGGAGTCCTTGTGTGGTGCTGTGGGTTAATGAGCTGGACTTCAAAGCTGTTTGAACCCCAATGTCGGTGGTACAGGGTCACTATGGGTCAAAACCGACTCGACGGCACTTAACAATAACAACAGCTAGCAGTTAGAATGAAAAGCATGTGACAAATAATTGAGGCATTATGAACCAACAACTCTCTGGTTAATTTTGTGCCTGAAAAGTGGCAGTCATTTTATTTGGTTTTGTTGTGGTTTAGCAAGAATCCTGATTATTCTAGAATATATAGATTTAACCATCAGTGTGCTGTGTCTGAATGAATCAACTGAGAATACTTTTAGTAATGTTATTAAGTGCCGTCAAGTCGGTTCCAGCCCATAGCGACCATTTATAAGGTTTCCGATGAGCGACTGGTTAGCTTGAACTGCCCACTTTGCAGTTCAAAACCAACCTTGCAGTTCAGTGCATTAACCCACAGGGCCACACCAGGACTCCACTTTTAATAACAAGTATCTATAAAAGAAGATGAGGCTTTCTGTTCCCGTAAAGATTTACAGCCTCGGAAACCCTGTATGGGTCGCTATGAATCGGAACCAACTCTACGGCACATAACAACAACATCTATAAAAGAAAGGGAAAAAAAATCTCTTCAATTCTAAAAATGCTTTGAAGCAAAAAAAGTGATACTTTTAATTGAGAAGAGTAGTCTGCCCAGGAGAATTTACCCCTACGAGTAGTTTATGTTGAACTAAGAGAAAACTCATTTTCACAGCTTGACAGCCTGCTGTGAAAGGTGCAGGGGTCGGTAGCTTCTGTGTAGGGCATCAGGTTGGTAAAGGTTAAAATACGTTCTCGAGTACATGCTGTGGGATTGTGGGAAATCTTGCCCAGAGAGTGCCCACACGAGCCTGACTTGTTTTACCAGTGAACACATCTTGTTACAGTTCAATTGCTCCTACTTGTTCTGACAAGTTCAGAGCTCTACCTCTGTTCCCTGGGCTAGAGAGCAAGCTTACCAAAATGAACACAGAATAAAACCTTCTAGCCCTGAACTGCTTTAACCACAAGGTTGGCAGTTCAAACCCACCAGCCGCTCCTTGGAAATCTTCTATAGCAGGGGTGGGGAACCTGTTTTCTGCCCAAATCATTCATGGGCCATTTATCAAGTTAAAAAGATTAGCCTGCTGTATTTGGTGAAACGTTGAATTTTCTCACCCCTAATGTGATGGCTGGAGTTCTGGTGTGACGCTGCGGTTTAATGCACTGGACTGCAGGGTTGGTTTGGACTGCAAGGTCGGCAGTTTGAGTTCACCAGCCGCTCCTCAGAAACTCTATACAGGGTCGCTATGAGTCGGAACCGAGTTGACAGCACTAAACAATGACGCGGTGGCTGGAGTCCTGGTGTGGCCATGAAGTCCATTTTGAACTGCAGTGTTGGTGGTTCAAACTCAGCAGCCACTCCTTGGAAACCCTATACAGGGTCGCTGTGAGTCGGAACCGACTCGACGGCGGTTAACAACAACAACAACGTGATGGCTGGAGCTGTGGTTGCCTTGGCAGGGTCAGACCAAATGATTTCACAGACCCCAAATGGCCCAAGGGCCAGACGTTCCCCACCCCTGTTTTACAGGGCCGTTGATGGTACCTCCTATATGACTTAAAATGTGGAGCTCTGAAATGCCTGAGAGGAGAAGTGGGGTAGAGCTCTCAGCTGGGTCAGCTGCTCGTCCCTGGTCCCTCATGAAAGAAGCAAAGTGGCGAGAGATTCCTTTGAGTAATGTGACATCTCCACAGCATTGTCCCTAAGTTTTACAAAAGTTACAGTCCACAGCAAATTGGAAATTAAAAAAAAAAAAAGCAAAACACTTCTACTCCATCAGAGGTATCCTGGTAGAATAAGTACTGAACTACATTATCGGCGTTTCAGAGCCACCAGCCACACCTTGGAAACCCCATACAGAGTTGCTACAATTCCAAAGTTCCCCTGCAGATTGTTTGAGAAGCCCTGTCTAGTCTGTTGCCCTCCTTTACTCCTGAGCAAACCAGACTTCTGACTGTCTGACTGTAAGCAGCTTGCTCAGGGCCACGGGGTTCTTCTGGGGAGGGCTGGTCCCGAGTCCAGTGTTTTGTGCTGTTCCATGTCCTTTTCTCAAGGGTCTGACTAGTAGAAATGTTTTCTTCAATACCGACCCTCCACTCTCATCTGTATTATAGGGGGAGGGAAATATAATCATGATGTTCATTTGATGCAATGTAATTTTCCCAAGACATTAATAGTGTTAAATATTCTCTACAGATAACTTACCATCTTCTCTGAAGTCGTGTAAGATAGTAGAACATCTGAAAGAAGACAGCTCAGAAGCTTCGAGTCAGGAAGAAGGTAAATGGGACCTACTGCTAGAACTATTGCTGCCAACACCGGCACAGGCAGATCGGCCATCGGGCTGACTAAAGAGCCTAGAAACACACAGACTTGGAAGGTGACACAGGTGGTATTTCAGACAGTGGAGCAAGCGTGGCATGTTCAATAAATGATGTTGGCACAGTTGGCTTGTAGAATTACTTTCACATGCCTAAATGTATGTTTTGTTGTTAGATTCCATCAAGTCAGTTCGGACTAGCAACCCCATATGACAGAGTAGAACTGCCCCATAGGGTTTTCTAGGCTGTCATCTTTGAGGGGGTAGAGTTCCAGATTTTTCTCCCACATAAGTATATATATATATTTTTTTCTCTCTCCATATGGAAAGCTGATTATATATATATATAATTCCTACTCACCATTCCCCCCAAAATTGCATATGAATAACAGTTTGTATGTAAATGTGAAGCTTAAATAGGGAGAAGAAAATATTACCTCTGGGAAAAGAGGATTTCTTTCTCCCTCATATAAAATTAGGACTCAGATATGACAGAAGGAACTGTACAGGGAGAAGTCAAGCCACAGAATGCTGTTATTGTTAAGTGCTGGGCCGTTGGTTCTGACTCATAGCAACCCCCATAGGGTTTCTGAGGAGCGCCTGGTGAATCTGAACCACTGACCTCACGGTTAAAACCAACCTTGCAGTCTAGTGCAGTGCCACTGGAGGTGACATTTACAGATGAAAAACCATATCTAGACTGTTGAAAGATCCTCCTGTAAAATCAGGGAACATAAACCCAAAAGAAATATGGACACAAGACAGAAATGGGCACTTGACAGACGCAGCACTGGCCATAAAACAGTGCTCAACCTCACTGTTGTTGTGAAGTGCCGTCAAGTCAGTTCCGACCCATAGCAAAACTGCATAGGGTTTCCAAGGAGCAGCTGGTGAGCTTGAACCACCAACCTTGCAGTTCAAATGGCTTTGCAGTCTGGTGCATTAACTCACAGCGCCATACGAGGACTCCTCAACCTCACTACTCAGGAAAATATGAATGAAAACCACTGAGTTAAAGTTTCATGCTCAGTACACTGGCAAACACTCTAGAGTCTTCCATTGTTAAGGCCACAGCAGTGGGCTCAGTTATAACAGTGGTGGTGAGGATGTCGCGGGACTGGGCAGTGTTTTGGTTTGTTGTGTGGACGGTTGCTGTGAGTCAGAACCGACATGAGCGCACCTAACAGTAACAGTGGCAACAACGTCATGTTACGAATGCGAAGTAATGGGAGCTCCCCGTCACTGCTGATGGCAGTATAAACTGTTGTGACCCTTGTTGGACATGAATTTGGTGCTATTTTGTACTGCTGGCCATCAGTTCTACTTTAAAAATGGTTCTGCGTGAACTCCAGGAGATAAGGACAGGTGTTCAAGATTAACAACAGGAAGTAACGTGTTTTAAATATCAGTAAAGCTTGAAGTAAGTTGTGGTATGGTCATGGTAGGTGGTAAGGAAAATAAAGGATATTTATAGGATAGACCATGGTTTTTGCAAATAATGTGTCTACGTAAGTGACACATCCACACGTAGCACGCAGCATACACGGTCATGAAAATGGCAGGGGTCGGGTGGGTTTTGTATGACTGACAAAACCATATAGCGTGGGTGTTATTGTGAACAGAAATACAGTACTCCGACATGCCCCAGCACTGTGTACTTGTGGGCACAGATAAGGCTAAATAAAAATAAAAACATGCACAGGAATGCTTCAGCAAAGTGAAGGGGACTGGTTGATAGTTAACTTCTATGAAAGCAGGAAAGGAGATGAGAGAAGACTTTTGATTGTATCTGGGATGCTTGTTTTCCCTTTTTAAAGGCCTATGTAGACATTTCACTTTATTAATGGTTTAAAACAAAGCTTCGCCTAAAACTGGAAGCTGTGTTTTTGGAGTGGCCTAATGATAGGAGATTGTCATAGTTCTGGGGCACGATTGATTTGCTCTCAGATGGAACACATTTGAGAAGATATTTAAGGAAATTCAACAGCTGGTTTCGTCTAGGTAAAATTGCCTCTTTAAGAAATTACCTGTGTTGGAAACTGCTAAAATGCTTTAAAGTGCTCAGCCCAGTCCATCTCCCCTCTGTCAGCAGACTTGTTTTGCACGCTCAGATATAAAGTAGTAGCACCAACCTTTTGGGGTTTTGTGGAAGCATTCAGTGTAATAATTAACATCTTTTCCATTCTCTAGATGTGTTGCAGCACACCGTAATACACAGGAAGCATGCCGGGAAGGGCCCCATTGTGAAGTAGGTATCTAGTTCCTAAAACACAAAGGTCTTTATGCATTTTTAAATCACCACCACATTTTATTTGATTCCTCGTTTACTAGAGTATTTGGGTATAATTCTACCATTTTGCTGTTTGCTTTCTGTCTGTTCTAGCTTTTCTGTGATTCCTTCTCTCTCCTTTCATATGGCTTCTTACTCTTTGTCTCTTCTGTTAGCCATTGATTTTCTGTTCTTCTGGTGGTTACCCTGGAGACTCTAGTATGCATCTTTCATCTATTAAAGTCTAATATTTGCACTTATACCACTGCCCAAACAATTTGAAGATCTTTACCTCATCCCAGCTTATGATCATAACCAATCGTGTGTTTTAATTTTGGGTCTGTATTAAGTCCCATGAAACCTTTACTCAGAGTCGCTTTGGTTTTACGCAGTTCTTGGCTCTTCCATTCCTCCCATTGTCTCTGAGCATTCATCTGTGATCATTTTACGTCTGACTGATGCGTCAGTATTTCCTGTAGTAGTCTGTCTTCTACTAGTGGAAAGTCCGCTGATAGGAATGTTAATTACACCTTAATTTTTAAGGATATTTTGCCTGGTGTAGGAGTCTAGGTTGGCGGTTACTTTCTGTTGTTGTTGACAGATGCCACCGCATTGGTTCCAACTCCTCAAGTGTCCCCATGTAAAGCAGGATTAAACGCTGCTCAGTCCTGCAGCCCTCCTCCCACAACTGATCTGATGCTTGAGCTGATCATTGAATGCTTGCAAACTAGTTCCATGGCCTTTTGGTCCAGTGCTTTGCTCCCTGGTTCTGTGTCCTCTCAGCTCACCTTTGATTTGTGCTGCAGATGCAGTGGGCAGTTCGTGTGGTTCCCACCTCAGGCTGGGGCTATGAGTCTGTTACATTCTGGCTCGTGGCCTTTCTGATTCTGGAAGCTCTGCTTAGACCCTAAGACTGGTGGGGAGATGCAGCTGAGTAGATGGTACTGGGAGGCCTCTGGTGTTTGGAGCCGCTGTTGCCTGTGGAAGCAACACCCATAATGGACCCTTCTGCTTTTCTGCTTTTTCCTCTTTTCCATTCTTACTCCCTGACGCTCTTGCTCTTGCTTCCTGGGATGGCCTCCCACATGAACTACGTCTTTCCAGACTCTCTGTCGGCAGTGGGGGGGGGGCTTTCAAATTTAAGATAATCGGCTTCTATTGCTTCTGTAACTCGAGATTGTGTGATAGGAGGTCTTTTTTTTCCTTTACTCCCACTGTCTGGTTTGCATCGGTTTTCCTGTGATATGCTTGTAATTTTCCTGGAATTAATTCTGCGTTTTGACCACCTGTATCTTGATCTTTTTTAGTTTGTCCAAAGTCTATTTTCTCTTCAACTGTTGCTTCTGCCTGATTCTATGTCCTCCTCTCAGACCCCCAAGTCCCTGCATATTAGATTTTCGCCGTGTCCCATGTGGTTTTTAAACTCCCTCTTTCACTCCTGGTGGCACTGTGGGTAAGGCATTGGCTGCTAACCACAGGGTCGGTGATTGGAACCCACCAGCAGCTCCACAGAAAAAAGATGAGGCTGTTTGCTCCCGTAAAGACGTGCCACCTCGGAAACCCTCTGTTGGAATCAGCTGAATGACAGTGGGTGGTGGTGTGGTGGTGGTGGTGGTTGTTCCATATTGTATTTTTCCTCTCAGTGACTTCAGTCTCTTCTCCTCTGACTGAATCTCATCTCCAATTGCCTTCATCTACAAGGGGGCTTCAAAAAGTTTGTGGGGAAAATGCCATTATCTTTTCATTTCATTTTCCCACGACTTTTTGAAGCACCCTGTATTTCCCATCCATTGAATTGTTAATTTCAGTTTATTCGTACCATTCTAGATTTTAGATTTCATTCTTTCCAGTGTTCTCCCCCAAACTCTCAACCATTTCTTACTCTTTGAGCGGCTTAAGCATAGTTATTTGAAACTCCATGTCCCTTGACTCCATTTCCTGGATCCTGGCCACGTCGGCTCCTCTTGTCCGATTTCCCGGGTCCTGCCCACATCGGTTCCTCTTGTCCGATTTCCCAGGTCCTGCCCACGTCGGTTCCTTTTGTCTCCCGGATCATGCCCACGTCGGTTTCTCTTGTCTGACTCCTGGTTTTCAGTCACTTTGTTCTATCCCTTCAGGTGCCTGGGTATTCATGGTAGTCAGTCCAGGGATTTCACTCACGACTTCTCAGCTGGAAGGAGTGCAGAATGTCCATAGCAGAGTATGGCTTTGGTAGGCAGGTATTAGTGATTGAATAGATGAAAGAGCGGTGCACTGATTTAGTTTCCACAGTGTACACTTAGAGAGCTCGCCCTAGGTTTTCTGTAAAAAATCCACATGTTGAGAAAAGCATAGTGGTGGTCTCTCCTTTGTAAACTGTAGAGGTTAGCCTAGTGAGGACAAGTGTGCTGACTTTAAAGCCATGCCAACTTTTCTTTTGCCAGCACTATTGGGACAAGTTGTTCTCCTCGGGGTGGGTTGGCCATACAATATCCTGAGCAGAATGGCATCATCGATTGGAGGAAGACAAGTTATACCACCTCACAGCCCCCAGAGCACTCTGTGACCTTAGCCGACCAGGTAAGGGGGGGATTGGTTTTTGGTACCATTAAGTTAAAAGTATTCCACCACCCATCTGTCAGTTTGTCACACTGTGGTGGCTTTCGTGTCACTGTGATGCTGGAAGCTATGCCACAGGTATTTTGAATACCAGCAGGGTCACCCATGGTGGACAGGTTTGAGCGGAGCTTCCTGACCTAGACAGACTAGGAAGAAGGAGAGGCGGAACCCTTCTGCATGGTTAGCCCCTGGAAACCATGTGAAGAGCAGTGAAACATCGTCTGTCACAGTGCCGGAAGATGGGCCCCTCAGGGTGGAAAGAACTCTCAGTAGCATTAGGGTAGAGCTGAGCTGTCTTCTCAAAGTAGGGTTGACTTCAGTGATGTGAATGGAGCAAAGTTTTCAGAATCCTCATTTGCTGATGTGGCACAGCTCAAAATGAGAAGAAACAGCTGTAAACATTCATTTATAAATAATTGGAAGGTGGAATATATGAAATAAGCGTCTAGGAAAATTGGAACTCATTTGCAAATGAAATGGAATCCATAAAGATCAATATCCTAGACATTAGTGCGCTGCAATGGACTGGTATTGGCATTTTGAATTTGACAAATCACATGGTTTACTATGCTGATAATAGCTAATTAATTAAAGAGGAATGACATCACTTTCATTGTCAAAAAGGGCATTTCAAGATCTGTCTTGAAGTACAATGCTGTCTGTGATTTCTGTCAACTTCTTCAATCTGAAATTGATCAAACATGCAATCAAGATGGATTGAAAATTAACTAGTGATTGGAATGCCAAAGTTAAAAACAAGAGGAAGGATCAGTAGTTGGAAAACATGGCCTTGTGTTAGAGAGTGCATGATAGAATTTTGCAAGACCATGACTGCTTCATTGCAGATACCTTTTTAAAATAACGTCAAAGGTGGAATACGCAGGAATCACATTGACTACATCTGTGGGAAGAGGCAATGAAGAAGCTGTAGCATCAGGGGCCAGCTGTGGAGCAGGCCTTCAATTACTCACATGCAAGTTCAGGAGGAAGCTGAAGAAAAATGTAAAAAGTCCATGGGGGCGAATTAGGACCTTGAGTGTAGCCCACCTGAATTTAGATACCATCTCAAGAACAAATTCGATGCATTAGACACTAATTAATTACTGAAGACCAGAAGAGTTGTGGGGTGACATCAAAAACATTATCCATGAAGGAAGCAGAAGGTTACAAAAAAGATAGTTAAGAAAGAAGAGACCAAAATGAGTTTGAGAAGAGACTCTGAAACTTGCTCTTGAGAGTTGAGAAGCTAACACAAATGGAGAAAACGGTGAAGTAAAAGAACTGAGCAGAAAATGTCAAAGGGTCGCTCGAGAAGACAGAGTTAAGTATTATAGCGAAATGTGCAAAGGTCTGAAGTTAGAAAACTAAAAGAGCAGAACATGGCATTTCTCAGGCTGAAAGAACTAAAGGAAATATTCAAACCTTGACTTCCAATATTGAAGGATTCCATAGGCAAAATATTGAATGATGCAGGCAGCATCCAAAGAAGATAGAAGGATTATGCAGCATCATTGTACCAAAAGTATTGGTTGATGTTCAACCATTTCAAGAGGTAGCATAAGGTCAAAAACCAGTGGTACTGAAGGAAGAAGCACAGTCAGCATTGAAGGCATTAACAGAAAGCAAGCTCCATGAACTGACAGGATACAAATGGAAATGTTCCAACAGATTGATGCAGTGCTGGAGGTACTCACTCGTCTGTGGCAAGAAATTTGGAAGACAATTACTTGGTCAACTGATTGGCAGAGATTCAAAAAGGTGTGCCCCATTCCAAAGAAAGGTTACTGACCCAGTTACATGCAAAAACCATCAAGCAAGAGCATTACTATCATGTGCAAGTAAAAAATTCTGAAGATAATTAAAAAAACACGTGTGCAGCTGCCAGAAATTCAAGCTGGTTTAAGAAAAGAACGTGGAACGAGGGATATCACTGCTGATGTCTGATGGATCTTGTTTAAAAGCAGAGAATACCAGAAAGATGTTAATTTTTGCTTTATTGACTAAGCAATAGCATTTGACTACGTGGATCATGGCAAAACTATGGATAACATTGTGACGAATGGGTATTCTAAAACTTAACTGTGTTCATGAGGACCTTGTACATAGACCTTGAGGCAGATGTTTGAAAAGAACAATGGGACAATGAATGATTTTAAATCAGGAAAGGTGTTGCCAGGGTTGTATCCTTTCACTATATTTACTCAATCTGTGTGCTGAGCAAAATACCCGAGGAGCTAGGTTATATGAAACAGAACATGGTATCAGGATAAGAGAAAGACTTCCATAAATAAGACAACTTTAAAGTGTTCAAGAGCAAAGGTGTCAGTTTGAGGATTAAGATGCCTGACCCAAGCCATAGCATTTTCAGTAGCCTCACATTCACGTGAAAGTTGGACAGTGAATAAGGAAAACCATAGACCAATCGATGCATTTGAATTATGATATTGGCTAAGAATATTGAAGGTGGTACGGACTATCAGAAGAGCAAACAAATCTGTATTGGAGGAAGTACAGTCAGCATGCTTCTTAGAAGCGAGGATAATGAGACTTGGTCTCTCATTCCTTGGACATGTTATCAGGACGAACCTGTGCCTTGAGAAGGACATCATGGTAAAGTGGAGGGTCATAAACAAAGTAGAAGACTCCCCCACAAGAGAGATAGACACAGTGGCAGCAGCAGTGGGCTCAAATGTAACAGTGAGTGTGAGGATGGTACAGGACCGGGCAGTGTTCTGTTCTCCTGTTCTGCGTAATCAAAACCACCTGGGCCTCTAAATAGTGTTACTATTACAAGGGAGGAGTCCTGGTCTGATGCTGTAGGATAAGACTTGGACTGCTAACCACAAGGTCAGCTGTTTAGACCCACCAGCAGCTCCTTGGAAACCCTATACAGGGTTGCTATGAGTTGGAACTGACTCCACAGCACTTAGGAACAACAGTGATAAGGAAATTGAATTCTGTGAACATTCTGTCAATATAGTTGGCAGGAAGAAAGGAAGAAATATTCAAGTGTTTGATTTTTAACTACTTATGATCTAAGTTCTTACAACTGAAAAGTTACAGCTAGATGACTTTGATTGTTCATGTAAAATTGGTAGCTGGTGGTGGTGTGCTGTGGAGTTAGTTCTGACTCATAGCGACCCTGTACAGAGTTTCTGAGGCTATAAATCTTTAGGGGAGCAGAAAGCCTTATCTTTCTCTTACTGAATAGTTGGTAGATTCCTCTGTTGACCTTTGGTTAGCACAGCTTGTAATCCACTATGATACCAGGCTGCGTGTAAAATTCGTAGACTTTAGTGTATGACAGCCAAATGTTTGTGGTAAATTGTTGTCAGATGCCTTTGAGTCAATTCTGATTAGGATTTCCAGGGAGCAGCTGGTGGATTTGAACTACCAACCTTGTGGTTAGCAGTCACTGCTGATGTTACAGCGCCATACCAGACTTTTTGTTGTTAACTAGGGGGGCTAATTAAATGGTTCATCTAAATTTGCTAGTTTTTAAAATAGTTGTTTACATTTCAGTCACTGTCTTGCTATTATTGTTGTTACGTGCCATTGAGTCAGTTCCTGGATAGGGCTTCGAGGGGTTTGAACTGCTGACCTTGCGGTTACCAGCTCAGCACTCACCCCATAGCGCCATAGCAGAATGTGAATTTTAAAGCTAGTTTTTCTTGGGTAGTTCAGACAACTTACCGGCACTCCTGAATGTAATTAGAAAGTACTTGCTTTCTTATGACTAGGATGCAGAGAGTATGATGTTGTCAGAAGCACACTTATTGTCATATGGTACCACAGATAGGGAAATTAACACTGTAGCTGGTATGATGAGAACCTTCTTCCTTTGTCTAGAAAATAGATTTGTTAGCCTAATTTCATTTTAGGCAGGCACGCAGATCCAAAGCTTAACCCTTCTTGGGATGTGTCTTTATGAACTAAAGAAGTATTATAGCAAATTCTGAGCCAATTATAGAGGTTGCTTCAGTTAAAATGTTTTTGAGGGTCTGTTTTCAAAGCCCATCTGATTTCCCCCTCTGTAGACGCAGCAGAAAACACTTGTGTTGTCAGTTTTACAGCCTGCACTTTTAGAGGGGAATCCCAGTCACCCTGGAAGCCAGTCCCTGCCTGTGTGCCGCTTTGTCGTCAGAAGAAAGGCTACAGGTCCCGTTTAAAAGCAAAATAGAAAATTCTCATGATTGATACCAAGTATTTGTCACAGAAAATGCAAAGTTCAATGGTTCAGTTAAATGACTTCAAAATAGGTGGAAAATGAAAAGACTTTCAAAGATCCAACTGGGAGTATCTCGTTCCAATGATTGTTATCCAATACGAGGGTGTCTGCCTGAAATGGTTTAGCTTTTGTCTGATTTCTTTTTGTTCTTTCTACCAGCATTCCGCTGACAAATGGAGCTTATCTTCCATAAATAAGAAGAAAGGAAAGCCGCAAATAGAAAAGTAGGTTCAATTTCATGTCTGGTAGTAGTGTAAGGAAAGGCCACATCATGTGGTATTATTTCATCGTGGATTCTGTCTATAAATAGTGTCTATAAATAGTGTCGTTCCATTCGTTTTCTGTAAATTTTTATTCTGGGCTTTCCTTATTAGTTAAATACTAATTACTAATTTAGTATTTGCTATTTAGTTAAATACTAAACAGGTAATAAAACTATTGTTGAATACAATATATTCCATTTGGAGGGGCCACACTCTCAGAACTGTGCAATAAAAAGGGTGCGTATTTAAGTTATACCTCACTTAAATAATTAAAGAAAAAAAAAATTGGAAGGGAATTTTGCTACTACTGCCCTTAATGTGTTTGTTAGAGAAGTTTGTGGGAAATATTGGTAACCTGTATACATTTATACATTTGCTTTAGGGAGAACATTCAGAAAGTGGAGACCAGATTGACTAGTAGAATAAATGGCATTCGACTCTCCACTGCTCAGCATGCCCAGGATGGCTCTGGGAAAGGTAAGGAAGGTTTTTCCTTCATGTGCACACACCTAAATAGAACGACTGTAGCTCTAGGTGTTGGGCTTCCAGTTCCAGCCCTGATGAGCTTTACCGGGCTTTGGTGTAAAGCCGTTTCTGAGTTAAACCGTTCTCAGATGTTAAAGGCTGTAATTAAAGCCATAACCTCCACTCCCACTAAGTCAGTTCTGACTCCTAGTGACCCTGTAGGACAAGTCTGTAAATCTTTATGGGAGCTGACAGCTCTGCAGAGCGACTGTTGGGTTTGAACCGCTGACCTTACCTTTAGCAGCCCAAAGCACACCACCCCTTAATTTAGCCCTTGTCATCGTTGTTAAGTGCCTCTGAGGCGAGAGTTTCCAAGGCTGTAAAGCTTCACGAGAGCAGAAAACGTCATCTTTCTCCTGAGGAGCAGCTGGTAGGCTCAAACTGTCGGCCTTGTGGTTCGTGGTCCATTGTCGTCGTTAAGTTAAGTGTTGTTAAGTGGGTTCTGAATCATGGTAACCGTTACCGAGGAGAGGCTGATGAATTTGAACCACTGGTCGTTGCTGTTTAAATGACCTCACGGCCCAGTGCTACTTCAGCAGTGCCACACCAGGGTTCTATGGGGCCCCAGCGGTAGGCATGTCCTCTACCACAGTTAGATTTAGTAGCTTCCTTATCCTTCTCAAGCCAATGTCTGCTCCAGGGTGGAGATGTCTGTCCCCTTCTCTAATGGCCACCTCATGGGAGGGTCTTCCAATGTGGTAGACCTGTATCCGAACGTCAACTGGTGTGACCGTTGCTTTAAGGAATGCATTTACCCATTATCGTCTATTAAAGTAAAAGGCAAACACAAAACTTTTCAGGTGAATGTAGGAGAACTGGGAACCAAAGTTTACAGCTGCAACTGATTTCTAAGGATGTAATGTAGAAAGTGGTGTAAGTGTCTGGCCCACTTGTTGTAAATGGGAGCTGCTCTTTGCAGATGTGAATTTGGACGTTGGATCTGGACATGAAACATGTGGGGACACCTCTTCAGATACTTACAGCTCTCCATCTAGCCCACGGCATGACGGAAGAGAAAGCTTTGAGAGTGAAGAAGAAAAAGACAGAGGTTTGCTATTGCGGTGCTGAGGCACCAGGGCAGCCGTGGTGGGTGGGACTCGGTCTTGTCTCTTCCAATCAAACTCAAATACAAGCAGTCTGATGTGCCCATACATGTCGTTGTGGATTTTAAATTCAACTGATACCAAAGGCTATATTTTAAAATTCCTTAGCTCCTAGCAATACTGACTTTAGAATTACTCACTTGATATGAAATTAAATAGAAGATGGTTGGTTATATGCTGTGGAGTCAGTTCCAACTCATAGCAACCCTATGTGGGATTTCCTAGGTTGTAAATCTTTATGGGAGCAGAAAGCCTCATCTTTCTCTCATGGAACTGCTGATAGTTTCCAAATACTGTCCTTGAGGTTAGCAATCCAACTCATAACCACTGTGGAATCAGAGCTCCTTAAATACAATGATAGAGGTAACAGAATGTAGCATTAGTGTAGAAAGTTTGTTGTTGTTAGATTGAGTTAGTTAAGTGCCATGGAGTCGGTGCCGACTCATAGCATCTCTGTGCACAACAGAACAAAACACTACCCGTTTCTGCACCAACCTCACAATCATTGCTACACTTAGCCCATTGCTGCTTGCCACCGTGCCAATCCATCTCACTGGGGGTCTTCCTCTTTTTTTCTCAAACCTTCCACTTTACCAAACACGATGTCTTTCTCCAGGGACTGGTCACTCCTGACAGTATGTATGCAGTATGAGAGATGAAGTTTGGCCATCCTGGATTCCAAGGAGCTTTCTGGTTATACTTCTTCCAACAAGATGTGTTTGTTCTTTTGGCAGCCCACAGTACTTTAAGTATTTTCTTGCAACACCATAACTCATATGCATCCATTCTCTTATGGTCTTTTATTCACTGTCCCACTTTCACATGTATATGAGATTATTGAAAATGCAATGGCTTGGGTCAGGCACACCTTCGTGTTATCTTTGGTCTTTGAACACTTTAAAGGAGTCTTGTGCAGCATATTTGCCTAATGCAATACTTCATTTGATTTCTCAACTGCTGCTTCCATGAGTGTTGATGGTTGATCCGAGCAAAATCAAGTCTTTGACAACTTCAATCTTTTTCTCCAGTTATCATGATGTGATTTATTGGTCATGTTGAGAGGATTTTCATTTTCTTTACATTGAGTTGCAGTCCATACTGAAGTCTGTGGTCTTTGATCTTCATTAGTAAGAATTTTATGTCCTCTTTGCTTTCAGCAAGCAAAGTTGTATCGTCTGCATATCAGAAGCTGTTAATGAGTTTTCCTCCAATCCTGGTGTCATAGTCTTCTTGATATAATCCAGCTTCTGGGATTATTTGCTCAGTTTACAGATTGAGTTAGTATGTATCATGAAAGGATACAACCCTAGTGCACACCTTTCCAGATTTTAAACCATTCCGTGTTCCCTTGTTCCATTTGAATAGTTGCGTCTTGGTCTTTGTACAAGTTCCTCACGAGTATAATGAACTGTTCTAGAATATCCATTCTTCACAATGTTGTCCAAAGCTTGTAATGATCTACACATTTGAAAGCCTTTGCATGGTCAATAAAGCAAAAGTGAACATCTTTTTGGAATTCTCTGCTTCTAGCCAAGATTATCTCCCATTAGTAATGCTGTCCCTTGTTCGCTATCCATATCTGAATCCAGCTTGAATTTCTTACAGTTCTCTGTCAGTGTACTTCTGCAGCTGTTTTTTGAGTTCTCAGCAAAATTTCACTTTTATGTGATATTAATGTTATTATTTGATGATTTCTGCATTCTGTTGATTCACCTCTCTTTGGAATGGACAGAAATACGGATTTCTTCCAGATGATTGGGTGGGTAGCTCACTGCCAAATTTCTTGGGTATTGAAGAGTGAGTGCCTCCAATGTTGCCTAGGTTTGTTGAAAGATTTCAGTTTATATTCTGCCAATTCCAGGAGCTTGCTGTTTGCCAGTGCCTTCAGTACTGCTGCTTCTTGATCATATGCTAGCTGTTGAAATGGTTGAACAGCATCGTGTTTTTTTTTGGTACAATGACTGTGTATATCTTCCATCTTCTTTTGATGCTTTCTGCATCAGTCAATGTTTTGCCAATAGAATCCTTCAAAATTGCAAGTCAAGACTTGAATTTTTGTTTCAGATCTTTCAGCTTGAGAAATGCTGAGCGGGTTCTTCCCTTTTGGTTTTCTAACTCCAGGTCTTTGCACATTTCATTGTAAGCTCAATTTTGTCTTCAGCTGTCTTTTGAAATTTTCTCTTCAGCTCTTTCACCTCATCATTTCTGCCATTTTCTGTGCTAGAAATCAAGTTTCAGAGTCTCTTTTGCCATCACTTTTGTTTTTTTCCTTCTTCTTAATGACCTTTTGCTTTCTTTCTATATGTTGTTCCCTGGTGTCATCCCACAGCTCTTCTGATTTTCAGTCATTAATGTCTAGCACATCAAATTTGCTGTTAAGGTGATCTCTAAATTCAGGTGGGATATGTTCAAGGTAATACTTTGGCTCTTGTGAACTTATTTTAATTTTCTTCAGCTTCAGTCTAAACTTAAGCAATTGATGATCTGTTCCACAGTCTGCCCCTGGCCTTGTTTTGACTAGTAATACAGAGCTTTTCCACTATCTCTTCCCACAGGTGTAGCCAGTTTGATGTCTACATATTCCATCTGGTGACTTCCACGTGTGTTACTATTGTTGTTAATTCCATCGAGTTGGTTCCAACTCATTGTGACCTTGTAAAAGTTTCCGAGGGTGTAAATCTTTACCAAAGCAGAAAACCTCATCGTCTATGAAGAGCTGGTTGGCTTGAACCAGTATAGTCTTGTTTTCTGTTGTTCTAAAAAGGTATTTGCAATGAAGTCGTCATTGGTCATGCAAATTTCTATCATGCAGTCTCTAGCATCTTTTCTATCACCAAGGCTGTGTAGTTACTACTGATCTTCCTCTCTGTTTCCAGCCTTTGCATTCCGATCAGCAGTAATGATCTTTGCATCTTGACTGCATGCTGGATCAATTTCAGAGTGAATTGTTGCTGCTGCCTTGGAGCGCCGTGGAGTCGGTTCCGACCCATAGCCACTCTGTAGAGGGTTTCCAAGGAGCAGCCGGGGAACTTCAACCAGGGGCCTTGCAGTCCAGTGCACTACCCCACAGCGCCATAATTTCATAATCTTTGGTGCATCAGTTTGAATAACAGTGGTATTAATTGGTCTTCCCTTACTGTATGGATATCATCCTTTCACATTCAGAGTTGTACTTTAAGGTAGATCTTGAAATGTTCTTTGTGACCATGAATGTAACATCATTCCACTTGAATTTGTTGTTTTCAGCATCGTGAACCATGTGAGTGTCAGATCCAAAAGGCCATTTCAGCTCACTGATGCCTACAGTGATACTGAGCTTTATGCACACTCTGTTTCATTTTGACAACCTACAGTTTTCCTAGGTTCAGACTTCTCACATTGTACATTTCATTATTAATGAATGTTTGGCAGCTGTTTCCCATCACTTTGAGTTGTGCCCTGTCTGCAAATCAAGGTCCTGAAAGCTTTAGTCCTTCAGGATCATCACGGTCAACTCTACTTTGAGGAGGCAGCTCTTCCCCAGTCACATTGTGAGTGCCTTCCAACCTGAGGGGTTCATCTTAGGCACTGTGTCTAACCCACTGCTGTTCATAAGGTTTTCCATGGTGTTAGACATTCAGAAATAGTCGACCTCTCCTTCTTCCTTGGTTTGGAGGCTTAGCTGCATTCTGCCCACAGTGGGTGACCCTGCTGGTATTTAGAATACCTGTGGCATAGCTTCCATCAACACACAAGCCACCACAGTATGACAAACTGACAGATGAGTGGTTGGTACTTTTAAGTTAATGTACTACAATTGTGTTTCTAGAGGGAAAGACGGGACTTTGATTTGTGTTGATACCTTTGTGTGTTTATTTCTCTTAGATACAGACAGCAACTCGGAGGACTCTGGGAATCCATCCACCCCCAGGTTCACAGGCTTTGGTTCTGCCAACCAGACCATCCCAGTCAAGCCCCCTGTGCCAGTGGCTTCCCTAGGAACTGAAAACGGAAACCTTGTGGAAGGTCCCTTGAACTCGCCCAAGTATCCGCATATTTCTTTTATGCCAACTTTACACTGTGTCATGCACAATGGTGCCCCAAAACCCGAGGGGGTGCTCCCTCCACCCAAATCTGTGGATGGCAAAACAATAGGAATGCTAGTTCCTAGTCCTGTTGCTCTTTCTGCGATTCGGGAGTCGGCAAATCCTAGCCCTGTCGGGCTGCTCGGGCCAGTGGTGCCTACTGGAGAGTCGGACAAGCAGCTGGAATTACTGGCTTCCCCATTGCCTCTTCCGTCCACGTTCCTTCCACACGGTAGCGCTCCCGCTCTGCACCTCACTATCCAGAGGCTCAAAATGCCGCCGCCACAAGGTTCTTCTGAGGGTTGTGCTGTGAACCTCCCACAGCAGCCCGCTGGGAGTCTGAGCGTCGCATCACCGAACACTGCCTTCATTCCTGTCCATAACCCAGGTAGTTTTCCAGGGTCACCTGTGGCTACCACGGACCCCATCACAAAGCCTGCAGCCCAAGTGGTAGGACTCAATCAAATGGTGCCTCAAGTTGAGGGAAACGCAGGGACAGTCCCTCAGCCTCCTAATGTGAAGGTCGTGCTCCCAGCAGCGGGCCTTGCAGCTGCTCAGCCAGCAGCTTCCTACCCTTTACCTGGCTCGCCCCTTGCTGCCAGCGTGTTACCCAACCAGAGTTCCAATGTGCTAAACACGGCAGCCGCTTCCGCCCAGCCCGCGAGTGCAGGCCTCAGCCAGGTGCAGCCGACCATCCCTCCCGCAGTTCCCACCCACACCCCTGGCCCTGCCCCGAGCCCGAGCCCTGCCCTGACACACAGCACTGCGCAGAGCGACAGCACGTCCTACATCAGTGCTGTGGGCAACACGAACGCAAATGGGACAGTACTGCCACCGCAGCAGATGGGCTCGGGTCCTTGCGGTTCCTGCGGGCGAAGGTGTAGCTGTGGGACCAATGGGAACCTTCAGCTCAGCAGTTACTATTATCCTAATCCAGTGCCCGGACCAATGTACCGAGTCCCATCCTTCTTTACTCTGCCGTCCATTTGCAACGGCAGCTACCTCAACCAAGCACATCAGAGCAATGGAAACCAACTTCCTTTCTTTCTGCCTCAGACGCCATATGCAAACGGGCTGATGCATGACCCAGTCATGGGGAGCCAAGCCAACTATGGCATGCAACAGATGGCGGGATTTGGGAGATTCTATCCTGTATACCCAGCATCCAGTGTAGTTGCCAACACCAACGGTTCAGGCCCCAAGAAGAATGGGAACGTGTCCTGTTACAATTGTGGTGTAAGCGGGCACTATGCACAGGACTGTAAGCAGTCGTCCATGGATGCCAACCAACAAGGTAATCATGATAATACGCAGAGGACTGGTTTCTGAGTTTGCCCGTTTCTCGTGACTAGTGATCATGGTGTTTCTGTGAGAGCAGAACGATCTGTCTGCTCCCTTAACATGTGCCCTGCTTTCGGTGGCAGATCATGAAATACAAGCACCAAGGCCTAGTGTAGGCCCATGGCGCACAGAACCCAAGCAAAATTCAGAGGAATTTGGGTCCCAATAAGGAGTCACCTGAAGGCCAGGACTAGGATGTCTGAGCTCTTGCTTGCAGCACTTTTGTAAAGCTACAATCCAGTTTCGTATCATAAGCAAAACTTTTAAATATTGAAAAACTAGGACGCATCTAGCCATCCAACATCTAAGGTTTTTAGAGACTACCTAGTGTATCTATGCATAACCAGCTGGCCTCGAGTGTGTTCCCCATTACCACCCTTTTCTTCCCAGCAAATGTTAAAAAAAACAAACACCCCCAAGGTTCCATTCGATAGGCTTGGGAGTAAGGGGATCTGAACTCGTTTAATAACTCTAGCACCAGAGAGAGCAAGAACATGCTCTTCAGCAGTAAGTATGGGGCCGATACTGAGTTCAGTGTTAACCTCAGACTCTTCTCTTCACTCGAAATTGGCCTTCATCGTTTTGCCAAATCCTACCCCGTTCCTTCCCCTCTCTAAAAGGAAATAAAGAAGTCTTGAGTTGGGAGTTACTGCTGGACGTTTTTAAGGAAAGACTGAGTTTGATAGCTTTAGGTTGAACTTAAAGCACAAACACTCCCATGCCTCTTTAAAAGTGGTTTGCTTGATCTCCCATTTTGCAATGCATAAGCGCTGACGAAGGTGCCTTCCGAAGAGCATGCTCGTTTGCTGTCTGTAGTGGTTTGTGATCCATTGACTTGTGCTCAGTGACTTAGCAGTTCTGTCTTTCCCGTTTTAGGCACTTACAGACTGAGATACGCACCTCCCCTCCCCCCTTCTAGTGATACGTTGGATTCTGCAGACTGAAACAAGTAAAGCTTGCCTACCTAATGTCCTGAAGTGTGTGGGGAAGTTATGGTAGGGCGTGGAGGGGAGGAAAGGAAAGGTATTTTGTTGGCTTTTTTCCGTTCCTGTCTTTACATTTCCGAGATTTCTATGCAGTTGGGAGTTTGGGGTTCTGTCGTTACCAGTACCCACAACAAAGGAATGCAATGCTTTTGAACCTCTGGTGTCCTGGTTCCACAGCAGGCAGAGATTCTACGTATGATGTGTGTCATTCGAACATATGGAAAAAATTCTACGTATGATGAGTGTTATTTGAACATATGGGGAAACTGAGCAAACAAAATGTTGACACGGGCTTTTTTTTAAAAATAACACACTGAATATTTGCTGTGTACAATGTTTACTGACTCTTGAAATCTCTGTTACCCGCCCTCCCCCCCTTTATTTTGTTGTTGTTTTACAACACTGGCGATAGTCATATGGTTTTTGGGGGAAAAAAAGTGGCTTCTTCCTCAGCTTTGTTGCTTTCCTCTAACCGACCACCTCGCCCTCCCTCTCTGCACCCTGGGGAGTGGTTGACGTTGGACTTGTCCACACCTGAGTGAACTCCTCTGTGGAGGAATTGAGAGTTAAACGCCTTCCCCTTCATCTCCGATTGCCTAAATAGTGTGTATATATGTAAGAAACAACACCACATCAATACATATATGCAGCGCTGCTTGTCCAAATAAAAATGAAAAATTAAGTGGAAGAGAGAGGAAGAAGTAAAACCACGTGTAACTGAAAAAAAAAAAAAATGGACAAAGAGCTTTTCTTAAAAAAAAAAGAAAGAAAACGAAATGAAAAAAACCATAAACGTTTTCCTTCCGTCATACTTCCTTAGCCTGTTGCTTCAAAGAGGAGCAAGGTGAACAGGCTGGTATGATTGTTGTTCGTGTGTGTGTGTGTGTGTGTGTGTGTGTGTGTGTGTGTTGTACTTCTTGTAGCCCGCTACCGTGTCACAATAAGACACTACTTGAGTAAAGATGGATCCCTTTCCTGTACCACCTGTTACAACGTTACAGTGTTGTGTTTAAAATGTGTCTGCTTTATTTCAATCCCAACAGAAGCTGTGGGTTTCTTCAGAATGTCAGGTATTTGCTCTCCCTGCCTCTGGAAGCAAACTCACTTTGTAACCGTTTCCCACCACCGTTCATGGCCACCGCGGGGGTGGGTGGTGGGTGGGGGGAATGCCGAATTCCACGGGTGTGGGGACGATATTAATTATGTCAGTGTCCCATCACTAAGTTTAAAATGCTGCTGTTTAAAGAAGAAAAAAATATATTATTTTAAGCCAATCTATGTACTAAGTTGCTTCTAGGTAATTTTTGATTTCCTAAAGTGCACTGAAGTTATCTGGAAGATGGGGTGTATGTTTTGGTGACTGCCACCTTCAACAGCAACCAACAATTACCACTGTCAAGCCAGCCGTAGGTTTAAGGAGCAGGGGCAGGGGCTGATCTTGTATTCCCATTCCTCAGCACAAAGCAAAAAAAAAAAAACAAAAAAAATATTAGATTTCTGTTGTGTGGAGTCACAGTGGGCAGCAGAGAAAAAAAAGAATAGGTCGTCGTGCAGAAGAAGAACAAAAGATCAGAAAAAAAAAGGCGGGCTGCATCAAATGCAACAAAAGAACCAGGAACAAGGAAAATAACAACGGACACCTGAAAAATCTCGTTCAAAAGCAGAGAAAAACACAAAGAGAGGAACAGGGGTGGGTGGAATGGGCAGATGAAAGCTTTAATTTAAAAAGAAAAAGTTTGAGTAAAGGAAATTATTTTGATTAAATATATTTTATTTGATCTGGGTATTTTTGGACCACATTATTAAATTAACTGTTAAGCTGCCGTTGACTTGTTGAAGTGAGAGTTTTGATAAGCCACGTACAGACTGCGTTGTGAATCACGTGCCAGTTGTACTTTATGGAGCTTATTCTATGATTTAAAATACTGTACTGTACACAGGAGGTGTGTTACCTTCTCCTTGTTTGTATGTTTACCATATACTTTGATATTTGAAATGTTATGTACTGGAAAGGCAACTTATATTTCTAGAACAGATTGGATTTTATGCAACCTTTTTTCCCTGAATTAACAGCAATAAAAAAAAATGAAAAACTGCTTACGGTTTTATTGTGACTTATTGCAATTCTTGTAAAAGTGAAAGACAAGACATGGGGAGGGTGTGTGTGTGTGTTGTGCTTGTTCCAAGGTGCTGACCCGTTTCCCTGCCAGACTGGCCTGTTGAGCATCCGCTGTGTGAACAAGATACCGTCCGGACCATGCTGAGCTATGGGTGGCTCCCCCCAGCCCCCGAAAGTTAAGGACCTGGCTAGCTTTCTCCTGATTGTTCTCTCAGCCCAGCGTGGGTATCTGTTAATTTCTTTGGTTCTGCCTTCTAACCCAGTCCCAAGTCCAAGTTTTCAAAATCATTCATTTACCAACTCTTTAAGGAGCTCTGGTAGTGTGGTGGCTTACACGTTGGGCTGCTTACCACAAGGTCAGCAGTTGGAATGTACCACCTGTTCCTTGAGAGAAAGAAGAAGCGTTCTGCTCCAGTACAGATGTACAGCCTCAGAAACCCTATACAGGGTTGCTGTGAGTCGGAACCTACTCCAGGACACATCACCACTATTGGGAGGTGTCTGGAAGTGCCCAGTGACAGACCGTGTTCTGTAGTGATGACGGAGGCAGAGGTGTGCTGCCCAGACACTCAGTGTGCCCAGGTCATGGGCAGGGGCTCCAGAGTATCTGTTGTCCAGTTGGACAATGGGTCTGAAATGATGTTGTTAAGTGCCGTCGAGTCGGTTCCGACTCCAGAGCAACCCTGTATGGTATTTCCAAGAGCAGCTGGTGTGTTTGAACCGCCGACCTGGTTCAAACCGGCCCCGAGGTGAATGTTTATCCTACAGCGCTACACCAGGACTTCTGAAATGATGTTAAATGCCATTGAGTCGGTTGTGACTCAGTAATGATGTATAAGATTTCCGAGAAGCAGCCGGTGAGTTTGAACTGCAGATGTTGCGGTTCAAACCGAACTTGCAGTCCAGCACATTAACCCACAGCGCCACACCGGCACTTAGGAGAGTGTTCCTAATGTGTACTGTGCACCAGCTTTCCACTGTAGTCACCAGATGCACACCTATACATAGAGTGGATTAGAACAGCTCCACCTTCACTATCCACATTACCAATCTGCCTCCCAAACTCTACCCATCGCTCCTTCCTTCACCTACACTAAGCCACTTCCCAAAATGCTTGTATTTCCTTGTTTACTCATGGTTTTTATTCCCCCAATTACCACAGCCTCGGACTGTGAACCGCAAGGTGCTCCTTGGAAACCATGTTCAGGGTTGCTATGAGTTGGAACCGACTCAACAGAACCTAAGAGCAATTTGTTAAGGCTGACAAGTCGGTTCCAACCCATAGGAACCCTGTGTAGAGTTTCTGAGGAGCAGCTGGTGAGCTTGAACCACTGACCTTGCAGTTGAAACCGACTTTGCAGTCCAGCGCATTAACCCACAGCACCACACCAGGATTCCAACAATTGTCAAGTGCCATCTAGTCAGTTCCGACCCATAGCGACCCTGTATAGGGTTTCCGAGGGGCAGCTGGTGAGTTTGAACTGCCAACCTTGCAGTTCAAACGGCTTTGCAGTCCGACGCATTAACCCACAGCACCACACCAGTATATAAAAGAGTCTCATGCTCTACCCAGTCTTCAGACATGTTCTGTTTCTGCTTTTGTGGCCCTGACATACAATCCTGCAGTCCCTTCACTTTGACGGCTTTGCAATGTCCCCTTGTGTGGAAGATGCTTACAAATCATTTATCCAGTGTTCTCTGGACAGGTATTTAGTTGTTTTCATTTGGGGCTGTTAAAACAGGACTGTTAGTTACATTTTGTTTACCTGGACGAGTAAGCATCTCAGGTGTACAAATCTAGGTGTGGCTGCTGAGTTGTGGGACTTAACAGATACTCTAGTTCCTGAGATCTTGCCATGGCATTTTCCAGGTGGTGTGTATACACTCCAACAATACCCAGGAGTCCTCTGAACCACCTCCTCCCGCTCCTCGCACGCTGTGCTACTAGAGGGAAGGCTGGGCAAGGGAGAAATGTGTGCAGCCAACCTCCGTGGTCTGGCGGCGGGGAGACCAAGCTGAGTGGGAGGAGGTGACTTGGTGAAGCTGATTTAGATAAGACTGGAAAAGGCACAAAAACAGCATCGGGCTTCGGAGCTTCTTTTTCCCCAGCTACGAGGTTGTTTAAATCATGGTTATGAGATGTAAAAGAAACAATATGGAAAAGGTCTAATGAAATAATGTAGCACTTAGAACACTCGAATGTGAGTCAAATTTAATTTTAATGAACAGAATTGTTAAACTGCTTCAAGAGGCAGGGAAATTGGCTAGGAATGAAGGGACCAGTTGTGTTGGGAAGTGAGGAATGGAGCAAAGGGACCAGTTGTGTTGGGAAGTGAGGAATGGAGCAAAGTTCTGCATTGTTAAGTGCTGTCGAGTCAGTTTCAACTCAGCGACCCCTGTGTAGGGGTTCCAAGGAACTTCTGGAGAGTCTGAGCCATGGACTTTGTGGTTCAAATCTACCTTATGGTCCAGCGCCACACCAGGACTGGATTAAATCAATGAATTTGGCTCTGTTGTATGCCATCAAGTCGGTTCCAAACTCACATCGACCCTGTACAGGGTTTCCAAGAGAAGCTGGTGGGTATGAATTGCTGTTGCTGGGTTTGAACCGCTGACCTTGGGGTTAGAAATCCAGTGCTTATCATACAGCGCCACACCAGGACTCCTGCCACCTGGTGGTAGAGGCGTCCAATGCAGGAAGCTGATGTTCATTCCTCACCTACTTTAAAGAAAGGAATCCTGGTGTGGCGCTGTGCGTTAATGTGCCAGACAGCAAAACCATTTGAACAGCAAGGTTGGTGGTTCAAGCTCTCCAGCTGCTCCTCAGAAACCCTATACA